CCCTTAAACCTAAACCCTAAGCCCTGTGACGACGCCCAAGTCCAAAGGTTCTCCTTGGCAGCCATCGGGGTGGACGCCGGTCGCCAGGAGCAGGGAAGACCCTGTCCGGATGCCTGATAGGGTTTAGGGTTTAGGATTTAGGGTTTAGGGTTTTGGATGCTAAAGGCTTTGTGGGCCTGGGTTTAAGGTTCAAGAGTCTTGCAGGGCTTGAGACCTTTGCTGCGACTACAAGAGATTGCTCGCGCTTCATGGGATGTCAGCATGCTTCATGCAGAGCCTTTGCAAACCATACCTTCCATCAACATTCAAGCAAAATGCGAGTCCTATCAGTCTAGAGTCTCGAACTCCCAACCTAAGGAATTTTAAGAAAGAGCCCCATGGTTCTAAACCGTAAACCCCTTACACCCCCTAAACCCCCTAAACCCCTCAACCCCATACCCTGAACCCCTAAACCCTAAATCCCCAAACCCCAAAACCCTGAACCGCAAACTGGAAAGATGCTGCCCTGCCTAAACTCCCTGTACAAACTCCCTAAATTCCTCATATTCTCTAAATTCACTAAATTCCTCATATTCCCTAAATTCCCTAAACTCCCTGTGTTTCCTCAAAGTCCAGAGCAGGAGCACTCCGACGCGGCTCTTCGGAGGCGCGCAGTGGCCGCGGAGCGCTATTTCCAGGTATCCCTGCTCAGGTTTAGGGTTTTCGGGTTTTTGGCTTATAGGGTTTTCGGGTCTAGGCTTATAGGGTTTTTCGGGTTTAGGCTTATAGGGTTTGGGGTTTAGGGTTTGGGGTTTGGGGTTTAGGGTTTGGGGCTTATAGGGTAATTTAGCCTTTGGCGGGGTAATTGCAGTTTGGCGATCCAGGCTCGGTGGCTTAAAGCTACAAGGCGAGGTACCCTAAACCCTAAACCCAGGGCTTTGTGAGTCCGGCTGTGTTCTTCTTTGTTGGCCGACTCAAGTTTCAGAGGGCGGCCGTATGTGTTATAATGCGGCCGATGCGAGGTTGTGGGTATTATCTCAGGTGTTGGTGCAGGTAGTATAGGATCCTGATTAAGAAAGCCTGGGTCCTTATTAGAGTTCTTTACATGGGTAATTGTCAAAATTATGGTCCCTTTTGGGGTACCCTAAATAATAGGTGCCGTATTATAATAAGGACCCAAAAAGGGACCATAATTTTCACAACCACCCACATGAGTCCTAGTATTTTGGGGTTAGAGTGCCAGGCCCAGGGTTTCTTAATCAGGTTCCTAAACCCTAAACCCTAAACCCTAAACCCTAAACCCTAAACCGATTGCGTTGGTTTCCGGGTTTTGGGTTTTCTTGGCTTGAAAGGTTTCGGGCGACGAGCAATTAGTTCCACCACGATGGGAGCTGGTGGAGCCTGTTCAGTCATAATGACTTTCGTCGCAAATTCCGGAAAAGCGCATCCGGTGTTTGGGGGGGAGGGGGAGGGGCAGGGCGGGCAAGAAAATCACACAAAGTGCATCCAGAGTTCGCCTAGGTATTTTCAGATTGGCCCTAAACCCTAAACGGTTCGCCGAAGCTGCAGTTCCAGGCCGCCAGCTCCGATCTTCAGCAATGGGTTTATGCCTAACACTTCGTGTCTTCAGTTTAAGTTGTGTCCTAAAGACCGTCTTACAGTCTTACATCTTGTATCTTCAGTATATTCACATCAGGTTCCAACTCCAGCGGTCGATGTTCCAGGCACTAGTACCTCCTTTGGGCTTTCCGAAGACGACGAACCATTCACGGGCCCGAAACCGTACAATCTTGATTTTTGGGACTCGTCCGTAAGTAACGGTTTTCGGAAATCTTAACCGAATACCCTAAACCCTAAACCCTAAACTGTGTTAGTTGATCCCGAGGTTTCAACAGCTGGGGGTCTAGGTAGCTGGAGCAAAGAGGGGGATGGAATGCTGCTAGGCTCCTGGCACTTCAGCTACCGACATTGCCAGGCTTTAGGGTTTCGGTGTAGGCTAAGCGGTGTTGCAAACACCCCAAGCCCGAAACCCGACACTGAGGGTGTGGTGTTTTTGTCTTAGGCTGAACCTTTTTAGCGGGCTTCCATGGTTTCATCTGGAGCAAACCTCCACCATGTGCGGTGAGGGTTGAAGGCTTCGGTTTTATGGTGTAAGCCGTGTAAGCCCTAAACCCAAAATCGAAACCCTAAATGGCTGCTTCAGGCCATGTATGAGAAGACGCTACAGGACGGATGGTCTGACCTGCCGCATGTGTGCCTTGATTCGCATTGTGGTGCACGCCACAGGTTTAGGATGCTGGGTCAGAGAATACATGGTACAACATGTATGATACATACGTATACATATATATATATATATATATATTACATGTTATATAGATGCACACATTAAATATATACACATTATATATATATATATGTTACATATGTATATTCGAGCCAAGGCTTTTGAGATAAGGTTGCTCCGCGTTTCGGGTCAAGAGGTTTAGAGCTCCTGAGTTCCAGCTCCACAGTCCACGGTGAGCGTGGTGTTGCCCTCTTCCTGCACACCAAAACCCTAAACCCCGAACCCTACAACCCAAAAACCCGGCGCCGTAATAATATAGCAATTTAAATCAATTACCCATACTCTTTGGAGGGTTCCCTATTATAACTCTAGTATAGTATACCCTAAAACCCTATGGTAATTATTAAGGCCCCCATATTACCTTGCAGCCCGGAACCCTAAGCCCTAAACCTTTTAAACCACTGTACCAGCGTCTGCTGAGGCAGTTCATGCGCGCTCGGCTCTATCAGGCTGTCGGCAAGGCTCCATTTCGGGGTGCTTTTGGGTTTCGTGCAGAAGCCTAAATAGTTACCAATGGTATTCCTTGGGTTCCCTCTTAGAAGTATACAGGAGCCCAAAAACCCTATTCTAGTTGTAAATGCCCTTACATTAGGGCTTAGGGTTAAGGGTGCTGTAGCTTGTTGGATCCATGGTTTGGGGTAGGGTTTCCGGCTACATGTTTGGGAGTTGCGGATAAAATCTTACGAAGTTTGGACAGATTCAAGAAGTCAGTTCGGGTGTTACAGTGGGGTTCAGGAATTAGACTCTGACGGTACACCTTCTTGTAGGGCTTGTTGATATGGTTTTGCCGATTCGCTTGGGTGCTTCGGCCCCGACTTGATGCACATAAGCTGAAGACCTAAACCCCAAACCTAAAACCCTAAAGCCCTTTGTTCAGTACCACTCCTGATGACCTCAAACCCCTTGGACACTCCCGACGCGTTGAAAGGTGGAACTGGCCATGCCGATCTACGAGGTGCAATGCTTCTTTGGAGCATGGTCCCCTAAGGATTCGATGCCCTGAGCCCTCCAAGCCCCGAAGGGTTTAGGGTTTAGGGTTCAGGGTTTAGGGTTTAGGGTTTAGGGCTATAAGCCGCATAGGCCTTGAATCCTTAACCTGCAAAGCGTGAGCTCCATAATATGGGTACACTTACCAAACGCTAGAAGCCCTAAACTCAAAACCCCTGGAAGCCCTTACATCAGCCTCAAGCCCTTGCCCCCTGTAAACATCTCATAGCATGCGACAGCCCGAGCTGAAACACCTAAACCGACAATCTTAAGCCATTTCAAACCCTATCTTGCCACAGGACCCATGAGGACCTAGAACTAAGGACGATTCACCCGACGCACCATCTTAGGCGAAGGTTCTCGCAGCAATTCGGAGCACTCTAGCCAGCAACAAAAATTGAATCACCCTAGCGTAGGGGCAAAGGCCCCAAAATTAGATGCATAGACCCGCCCCCACATTCTGAAGGCCCTCAACCTTTCCCGAACCTTAATCTCCCTAAACTCGGAGCCCTTTGACACTAACGCCTTGAACCCTAAACCCCATAGCCTGCTCTGAACTTGTTCTTCTCTGGGCCGTTTTTTTTTTCAACCCACGAATCGACCGCAGGACCTGCAGAGGGAACCTTGTTGCCGACGCTTGGACCTTCCGCGGTGCTTGGAATGCTTGATATGGGGGCCTTGCTGATTAGCATATACGGTTCCGTTAGGGGTCCCTTCGGGGCTCCTCTGAACGCTTCTATCGTGGGTACTATAAGGATTCTGTAGGGTTACTTGAAGGGTTTAGTATGGGGGCCAAGATAATAAGAAACGTGCTTTCGGATATATCAACCCTAAACCCTAAACCCTAAACCCTATCAGTGTAGAATAAGTTTAAGGAAGCCTCAGGAAAGAATATGGGCAATCCTTCCTGGACCTAGGGTATACCGGTTTACGGCTTCGGGTGTGCCAGAGTTTGGGGCTTATAAGGATTTCGGGAATCCTAGATTGCGTAGAAATCGGGCTTTGGGGCTTCTGCATAGAGCATAGAGTTGATGCTTTGGGCATGCTGCAACGAGAAAGCGGGATTCACCCCCCCCCCCCAGCGCCACCCTGAACACTTAAATCCTTAAGCCTTGAGTCCTCGAACCCTGATAGAGTTACAGAATTCAGAGCTCCTATCAATCGTGCTTTGCCAAACTCACAGTGCACAACCCTAAACCCTAAAACCAGATACGATGGCCTAAATAAATACCAATACTATTCTGGGGGGTTGCTAATTATAAGTATAGTGTAATGGGCCCCGAAACCCTATTCTAGCGATTACGGCCCCTACATGACTTAAACCCGAGACGGCTCGGGAGCTTCGCAGAATGTGAAGCCCGAACTCTGGACCCTTCTTAGGGTTTAGGATTTAGGGTTTAGGGGGTTTAGGGTTTAGAGTTTAGAGTTGAGGGTTTCAGTTATGAAGACACCCGGCAAGCGGCAAAGAGGCCCTCCATTTTGATGAGCCCCAAAGGGCTTGAAGCCCTATACCCCTAACTCCTGGCTAAACCGCTGGTTCTAGCAACTTACATCACTGAGCACACGCCCACAGATAAGCCACTAACTGTAGTAAGTACCCCTGAAAGACGACAATTGACATCCGCGTGTTTATCCGCTGTCCTGTCGTTTCGAGGAGAGCCGTCCACCTTCCAGGCGCAGAGGGAGTTTCATCGGTGCCTGGGCTGAGGCCACAGGCTTAGGGCGTTTACAAGGTCTTTTCATATACCAATACTATTTGGGGGGGGTTCCTTATTATAGTTATAGTCTATAGTATAATTAATAATGGGTTCCAAAACCCTATATTAGAACTATATATAAGGCCCCTATATTTACCAGGCAGGTTTAGGCTTTCAGGAATTGCCGCTGAGGTGTTTAGATTTCGAGGTTTAGGTTTCGGGTTTCAGGGCCCGCCGGCCCAACGTGACTTTGCAATCATCGAGATGCCTTTTGTTTTAGGAATCCTTGATCCCAGGCTCTCGGACGACCTCCCTCGGAAGTACATGAAGGAGGTTGGGTACATGCTAGACAAGAGAAGCTCGCTAGCAGCAGAGAGCAAGAGTGCATGCTGCTGCGGTCCTTTAGGTTTCCTCGGGTTATTGCGTACGACACTACCCATAGGCTCCATGTAGTTCTTTTTTTGGGATTACCTGATAGGATCCTACATATAAACCACAAACAGGAACTACAGTGTAGCCTATACACCTCCGAAGCCCTTTGGGGGCTTTGGGTCCAAGCTGATGAGGTTTAGGGGTTTTGGGTCGAGCATTGCTGGCGGTGCCTTCTTGAAGCTTTCAGTCGATTGAGCTTTTTGTGTTAAGGTTCCGGGAATTCAGGGTTTAGGGTATAGGGTTTAGGGCCAAATCCCTTTACACCCAAGTGCCTGAACCATGAACCCGAAGAGAATAATTACCCAAAGCCTGCCTAAGGAAACCGCACCACGGGTGTGGCCGTCAACGAAATGCAGGGTGGTATGCTGCACGAGCTGGTGTGGTACCACAGGCTCTGCAGGGTGTGTGTGTGTGTGTGATTTCCGGGGGGAGGGGGGGGGGTCTGTTTAGGGTTTAGAGTTGGGACTTGTTTTGTTCAATTCAGGTCATCTTCTACTGCTTTGAAAACGCCATGCCCCTACCCCATCCACCCTGAAAAGGACGTGCCCCTGCAAGCGGAATGAGGGGGTTGGGTGGTTGGGGGGGCAGTCGTTACCAGGAACACCGTGGAATCCATGGAAACCTCACCAACAATGCATAGGCATAAACTGCTTCAAAAAGAATGTACGCTCTCCCCTCTTCAGGCGTCCCGGTTCGGGAGCCGCCTTCGACCAGGAGCACGCCTGCCAGGTCGGAGGTTCTGGAATCGGAGTTTTCTGTTCAGAAGGCGGTTGGATCTAGCCGTAAGCCATAGAAATCAAATTTCGGGCTAACTCATGATCAGAATCAAGAGTGCGTCGGGGCGTACATCTCCAATGTAAGCCCTTTTCCCGTAGGTTCCTAGCACGCCAGATTGCCAGATACCATACAGTACAATCTTTCGACGCAGAACAACATGCCGTAATCTCTGTTTACATCCCGTAAACACGCTGTATAGACCCTGAACCCTGAACCTAAAGCCCAAAGCAACACGCCCAATGCCTGTAGCTCGCGACACGCTTGTTTTGCCTGATCTGCAGCCTCTTCCCAGAGACTCCAATATCCCTTCATTATAAGGGGTATACCTTAAATTGTAGTAGGATCCCTAGTATGATTCAAGGTATATTCCTCAATTAAGGGATATTGGAGTCTCTGGGTTCCGAGGCACAAAGCTGGCTTCGGCCCTTGGCGCTGATGCTCGATCATCGAAGAAGAGTGTCGTAAGGTTTCTTAGGGGTTCATGGGAGTTACGAGCAGCTTCATAGGCTAATGAATTTGTTTACGGTTTAGGATTCTGCGCAGAAGGTCTTATGGTGTTTATTTGCAGTCTTAGTGTTTTGGGCCTGGCATTCTTTGTAACAGTTGTCGAAAGGTTTGTGGAGAGGTGCGGGTAAACCCTAAACCCTAAACCCCTAAGCCCTAAACCCTAAACCCCTAAACCCCTAGCCCCTAAACCCTAAACCCTAAATGGGATAGGCGGAGCCGGAGTTGGTGATTCGGGTCGGTTGTGGGGTGAAGTGCTTGCAGGCTTGGAGGTTATAAGGTTCGGGCGCCCGAGCCGCGAGTCTTTAGTGTGTTAAGTTGGGTTGAACGGTTAGGAGAGTTTACTGTAGAGTTTGGGGTTTGTGCGGCATCATTCTTAGGTTTCGGGCTTAGGGCTTCAAAGTAAGAGGTCCGGCTGGCCTGTGCTAGCCAAGCACGATAATTTTCGGTATTGTCGGCGCCTCGTTGGAACGCCCTCAGCAAACGTGTCTATGCAGAGAGTCCAAAATTGCATTCAGAAGGTTGCAAGCTTCTAATTACGGAGGTGGCATGTTCATGGAAACAGAACCCGGCAAGCATTAAGTTAGGCCTTAAGTTAGTTGTATTGTGGGAACATGGTTGACTCATAAAGAGCCAAGTCAGAATCTATAGTAATCACAGTAATCCTACTCCGTAGCTAAAACCAAACCGGGAGCCTGAAATCTTGCACCCAATCCCCCGGTAAACCACAAAACCGCATACCACAGAGAGCCTCTGCAATAGACCTTGAACCTGAAGCCCCAAGCAAGATTAGGGTTTAGGGTTTAGGGTTTAGGGTTTAGGGTTTAGGGTTTAGGGTAGGGTTTAGGGTTTAGGGCTTCCCAAGCAAGGTTCAATCCTCGCGCCCCAAACCTCAAGTCCAAAGCCCTGGGCCGCATACGGTAATATACATAATATAGCGGCCTCAATAGTAAGAATAGGGTTTGGTAGGGTTACAGGACCAAGCAACTAGAATAGGCTTCCCTTACTTCCCCAATAAGCCACGAAAATAAAGGGTTAAATTTCAGATTACTACTACAAACAGTTTAAAAGGTTGGGTATTGGAGAACTAAGGTTAACGGTCTTTTTAAGGGGTTTATAGGTATCAGGATTACTACATATATGTATCGATTGTCAGACTTTTGTCAGGCTTTGTTGGGTTTCATGGTCTTTTCTATGGTCATGTGGATTTCGACATTCAGGCATCGGACCTCTCTTCTAGGATGAATGCCAGACGATTCGAAGGACAGAGATTCGGAGCGTGGTCAGGGTCCGGTTGGAGGTGAAGTGTTCAGGGCTTAGCATCTACTCGACAATTCTGACTACTGAGTTCAAGCATCCCCTTGTAGTCCCTATACCAAACCCTGAACCCTAAACCCCAACCCCAAACTCTAAACCCCAAACCCTTAGCCCTAAACCCTAAACCCCAAACCCTAAACCCCAAACCCTAAACCCTAAACCCGACTATGCATCCAGTATAACACCGTCACTTCTTCGGAGGTTATACTACCCATAGGCCCCATAGTAGTTCCTTTTGGGGATTACCTTATAGGGTTCTAAATATGAACCCCAAAAACGAACTACTATGGGGCCTAGGGGTATATTATACTTATCACACTGTCATTACGCCACAAAGGCTCGGTGAACCTCTGGCTGCTCTGGATCTGGGCCTGATGGCGGAGTTCGGCCTTTGTCAAGGACACCTGGTTGGGATTATGGGGTTTAGGATTTCTGGTTTAGGGTTGAGGGATTGTGGCGTTTAGGATTTTAGGGTTGAGGGTTTAGGGGGAGGTGGGGGGGTTGGAAACCTACCTCAAGTGTACACTGTAGTTCCATTGTTGGCCTACCTTCTAGGTACAGTGCATGCAGACTATAGGTAGTGTTTATTTCGGTCTTAGGGTTGGGGTAGCCTGAGCCGAATCCCTGAACACTTGAACCGCAGAGAGTTTGGGGTCAGAGTATAATATAAGGGGCCTTACTGATTGCCTATATTATTTTGGGGGTTCCTCGTTATAAATATAGTATAATGGGACCTAAAACCCTATTTATTCTATTTAGTAAGACCCCTATATTAGGGCCGTGGGAAGGATTCCATGAGGTTACCCCCCAAATTCCTCGTAGGCAGGAGACGTTCATGGGTTTACGGTGTCTTGGGGAGAGTAACGTAAGGGTTCATGTTGTAATATTGGCTTAGGGCTGGTAGGGTTAGCTAGGGGTGAAGGCATATCACTTGAGGCCTACGCTCTAGCCGGAGTTTTTGCTATTATTTTAGGGGTCACAGGATTGAAGCTTTCCGAGAGAATGGTTCTTCGGGGTTTCGTCTTGGAGCCCTGGATCCTAAACCCTCAACTGCACTCCCGCGTCAAACTAACAAAGTCCAATTTTCTGTGGGTCACTGTGAACTCGATCGATAGATTGTCGTAGGTTATAACCTCATATAAGCTGACCTCTACGGTTGACTGCCTAGTGCGTTGTTGCCTGCTAAATTTCCGCAGCAAGGAAGGATGTCGCGACAAGGACTTGCGGAGGCCGCGATCGCCATGCAGGGTTTAGGGTGAAGGGTTGTGGAATCCTGCCCTGAAGAGCTCACTGAAACGCAAGCATTGAACTGAAAACACCCCTAAACCCTAAACTCCAGCCCCCCAGCCCCAAACCCCACAAACAGCAGTGCAGACTTGAAGCCCTGGTCCGGGAGCACGAAGTGGTGCCAGCCCATCTAGGTTCCTCAGTAGTGCCCTTTTGCCCTTTTTCTTTTGGGTTCCAAACAGTAGGAACAAGGGTACCCTTATTATTTAGGGGCTACTGATACTGGGGAACCAAGCCATAGTTCCAGGAGTGTGGGTCTGTTTTAGGGTCTAGGCAGTAGGGTTTCGGGTTTCGGAGTGCCAGGTTTCGTCATGTCCGCTGTCATCAGAGAGCGACGATGGTAGCAGCAAGAGAGAGCCGCCGTCGGCTTCTACGGGGGCAAGCACATGTCCGACGTAGTCAACATAAACCTTTAGGGTTTAGGGTTTAGGGTTTTAGGGTTTAGGGTTTAGGGTTTAGGGCCCCATGGCCAAAAGACGCACTGATGGGCTTAAGGCGGGGTTTTGAGACCGTGTTTGAACTTAACGGCTAAACTTTGCAGGGCAAGGGCGAAAAGTTACAGGAATAGGTCGCGCCGATTGTGGAGGTACGAAGTCGGCACGAAAATTCAGATGCAGGCTGTTGCCGCAAATAGGTTCATCCTTTGAGCCTGAGGAACGTAGACGCCGCTCCCCTAAGGCTTCACAGGTTCCTTTAATAGTTATATTATTAGAATATTCAGAATAGTTGTATTATGGATCTCGCATCGAACCCTTTGTGGCTCGGCTGCAAAAATCAACAGCAGCAAAGCAGGTAAGCCCTAAACCGCCCTAAATCCCATGCCCCTAAACCCTCAACCCTAAACCCTAAACCCAAATCCTGCGCCGGTGTTGGAGGCCACCTCGTGGTATCGCATGGCCCGTGAGAAGGACCGTGTAGGTATGGCCATGGGCCGTTGGGGCTTGGAGGCGCCCCTCATTAGGGTTTAGGGAGTTTAGGGTTTAGGGTTTAGGGTTTAGGGTTTAGTAAGATTATATCGGTGGTTTTCAGAATTAGGGTCCCTTTCAGGGTCCTTTTTATAAGGGTGCCGTAATATATTGGGGACCTAAAAAGGGACCCTAATTTAGAGAACTACCCATATTATACTAACACAACATGATATAAGTTCTCGAGCCTTCGACCCCACTTGTGTAAACAAGCTGAAGTTTAAGGATCTAGGTTCAGGCTTCCTGGAATGAGGTGTTGGGTTTGATAGGTTCAAGTCCAGTGGCTTCAAGCTCTTAGTCTTTGGGTCCAGGCCCTAGGGATAGCAAGGGTCCTAGCCAAGGGGCCGGAATAATTTGTAATGGTATTCCCTTATGACTCCTGCTATAGTCTCTATAGTTATAGCTGCAATATACCTCAATACCTGGTTCTAAATGTCACATTTTATTGGCAGCCGTCCTATGGCAGGCACACAACTTCCTGGAAATCGCGACGCGCGCGCTCCGAGAAGAGCAGAGAGCCAGGTAAAAGGTCTGTCTGTGACGATGTGGGGTGTCAGGTTTAGGGTATAACGTAGGGCCCGAAACCTTAAACCTTCAATCCCCAAGGTTAAGTTCTTCCGTTGCAAGTGCAGCTTTTCGACGCCAAAAAGATAAGTATCACGTGTAGGGAGATCCAGGCACTGACTCACACCACCCCAAAGCCGGCGTTTCCGATTCTTTTGTGAGTCTGACAGAATTTGAAGGACGCCGGTTGCAAGCCTCGTAGCAATCCATGCCAGTAATTTTTATTAGCTGTACCGCCAAACTCGAAATAACCCTAAACCCTAAACCTCGAAAGCCGCTAACGTCCCTGAATCCGTGTTGGCCGGTAACCACACCCAAACCCTCAAGAACGAAGATCCTCAAAGAGAAATTGGCTTGTTAAACCCTTCTAGATCCTTTGTACATGCAGAGCCCATACTATCAACTTCTCTGAGGAATTTCCTGGTAGGTTCCATCTGCGAGCCTCAGTCAGCACCTGCTTCAGTTGCGTTTAGGATTCAGGCTTTTGCTGGTTTGAGGTTTAGGGTCTAGTAGGAGTTTCGGGTTCCCACTTCTCAGGATTCGAGATAGTAGGGCTCGGAGGAATCAGTAGGAGTATTTCTTAAGCCTCGCCAAAACCGCAGTCTAGTTCTACAGGCGTCGATAAGGCTTGAGGATTTACGGGTAGGGTCTCCGATCTTATGACTTGGAGGTTCAGGATCGATACGGTTTAGGGTTTAGGGTTTAGGGTTTCGGATGGTTTGTGAGGTTTGGAGCAGTTCGGGCCTTCCTGTTGCGCCCTGAGGCTCAAGAGGAGATTCGTCTCCTAAACCGTAGGTTGAGCACAAGTTCTCTAAACAGTTTACAGCTAAGCCATGCCGCCAAAGGGAAAGGCAAAGAAGGACTGCACCTGCACAGGGCTCTGGGTCCGGGAGCATGTAGCATGCAGGGCGGGGGTGAAGCGGAAACGGCCTTACTACGAACCGACCGACCACGTAGCAAAGTTGCACACTTACAACCAACACCTTAGTTTCCAAAAGCATGTTTGAGCCTAATTCCCTCCATGCCGAGCCCTAAACCCTAAACCCGGGACACTTGGAACGGTCAAGGGAACATTAGCATGGCCAGTGCGCAAGGATGACACATGCAACTCAAGAAGTGTACCAAACAGCAACCCTCAACCCCTAAACCCTGCCTTACGTCTAAACCCTAAGCCCTGAACCCTAAACCCTAACCCGAAACCTGCAGGAGGAGAAGGAGCTCGAGGAGAAAGACGAGCCCGAAATCGCGGATGGCGACGACGACAGCGATGATGACTCGGATGAGGAGTCCGAGGGCTGCGAGTTGACACAAGCACAAGCTCGGAAGCGCACACACATGTATGTATGTGTATATATATATATAAGTGCATATATATATATATATACATAAATTATTGTTTAAGTACAAGTGTAAAATTTTGAACGCATTTGAGTATATAAGTGCATATGTTGAATGTAAGGTTGTTTAAAGGGCTTCCAAGAACACAGTGTGGTTTTTCGGGCTCAGGGAAGGTTTAGAGTGTAGATTTAGGGTTTAGGGTTCAGGGTGCCGTGTTTGTACAGGGGTTTAGGTATGGTTTATGGTTTGGGTTAAGGTTTTCATGTATAGGGTCTAAAGAAAACCCCAGAAAGTTGGAACATAGGTTTCGGAGGATTAGTGCTGGGATCCCCTATGCTTTACCTGAAGGGCATGAGGATAATGATGTGCTAACTTTCTGGCTTCTACTGTAAGGCTACGGGTGATCCCTTTCACTGCAATGGAGCTCACGGGTATTGTTCTGAGGGCTTCCATGGCGAAAGAAATCGAGTTGAGGGCTGATACAGGGTTTATGTTGCTTAGGCCCTAATATAGGGGCCCTAATAGTTAGAACAGGGTCTCGGGGCCCAATATACTATACATACTGATATCAAGGAAGACCCAAAATAGTGTTGGTAAGTATCTAGGCCCCTACATTAGGGACTTAAGTCCTTTTAGACAAGCCCTGAAGCTGCAGAAAGGCTCCCATAGCGACTCCGAAGCTTTAAAGTTTCGGATCCTAAGGCCTCGTTTCGGATCCTAAGGCCTCAGAGGGGAGCCCTATACCCAGAGACTCCAATATCCCTTAATTAAGGTTTAGGGTTTAGGGTTTAGGGTTTAGGGTTTAGGGTTTAGGGTTTAGGGTTTAAGGAATATACCTTAAATTATAGTAGGGATCCCTAATATGATTTAAGGTATATTCCTTAGTTAAGGGATATTGGAGTCTCTGGGTACCCTAAACCCTCGCCATTTATCCAAACACCCAGGAGCTCAAGCGCGAAAACCCTGTCTGGATTCTTGTTAGCGAAGTTTTTTTCAGACAGTGAGTATACCCTAAACCCTAAACCCTAAACCAGTAGTATTGTTTCCTTGTTGTGGTAGCTTAAGTCCAACTCCTTAACGAGAACCCGGCTGTCCAGTCTTTCAGCTCCGGCACTGGGCTCAGGGGTTTAGGGGTTTAGGGTTTGGGGTTTAGGGTCCCCCTTCAAGATGGAGGTCCTGCAAAGGTTGGTCGAGTTCATTGGACTGCGTGTTTTGACTTTGTGGCTGATCTCGTTTTCTGAGAGTACGTTGTTGTGAGTGTCCAGAGGCTCCTGCACCCTAAACCGTAAACCCTAAACCCTAAACAAGCAAGTTTCTCAGCCCCGAGAATCTTCAACCACTTACCCGCAAGTGCGATGGTGTGGTAAGTTGTGTTTTCCGCTGTGCAGGGCAACGGGCCTGAGGGTTTAGGGTTTAGGGCAGGCTCTTCACTCTGTCTTAAGCCCTGCCCTTCACACGATCTAAACCCTAAACCCTAGACCCTCAACCCTCAACCCTGAACCCTAAACCCTAAACCCTAAACCCTAGACCCTAAACCCTAAACCCTCAACCCTCAACCCTAAGCCCTAATAAACCCCTCTTGCAGGACATGCCTCACCTGGAAGGAGGGGCCAAGGATGAGAAGCACAAGCAGAACAGGCGCCAAAGCACCCTAAGCCCATACCCTTCCTAGAAGCCCTTTACAGGTGGGTAG